GATTTAAAATATAGTATACTGTTGTTTTTTACAGATATGCTACATATGGGCAATGACTTGAAGGTACAAACTAAACTGTTCATAATGTATTCTTTATGGTACGCCAGCATTCATAACATGTAGGCAAATCACTGTCCCCCAGACATCCGCAGTTATATTTTTTATATTTCATTTCAAAACAAAGCGGAGTGTGTATGACATCATCCACGCGCCGGACTGGAGTTGCGACAGGCAGTCCGGGCCACAGGCAGCTACACTCTACCCCTTATATTCATTCGGCTAGCTAATCTGAATTTTTCAATTCCTTTTCGAGAGCGAGATCATCTGTGGTAGTAGCACTAGACATCTAACAGTTCAGTGGAAAGGATGAATGAATGGTAGCTGGTGCGCGCAGATGAAGTCATACACACTCCACTTTGTTTATAAAAAATATAACCGCTGATGTCTGGGTGATAGTGATTCACCTACATTTTATGAATGCCGGCGTACCATAAAGAATAAATTATGAACAATTTAGTTTGTGCCTTCAAGTCGTTGCACATAGAAAGATGTTACTAGGATATAACCTAACCAAATATCTTGGGAACAGCTCCAAATGACACAAAACTCATATGGGTGAGTAGAACATGCAGTAATAACGTAAAATCAAGGGCCCAATATAAAAAAAAACGGCATTCCCCTTTAAGTTCAATATATGCATGATGTGTCCACAAAGTCCAAACAGAAGAATTTTATTTTAGCTGACACACCCCTCAGCCTGAACAGCATTTCCAAATAAGGCTATTAATAAACTGTTTAACTATACCGACTCCTCTGCAAGAACCAATATATAAACTAGAGAAATACTGTAACATAGCCAATAAATATCATCAAGATGATTTTAAAACATTCTTGGAAGGAAATTACTGACTCTTGGACAATGAAGTTTTGAAAGGTTAAAAACAGTGGTTTTATACTTCGTCATTTATTGTAGCATTGTACCCTTGCATTCTCTGTGGTACATGCCCCCCAGGACCCGACTAGAATCTTAGGTACATGTGGAGTGTACATGCGTCAAGCCTAAACCAAGCTGCTTGAGGACATAAGGGCCACTTTTCATCATTCTGCTTGATCTTCATCTTTTTTCAAATGTCTGTTTTTTGTGAATTAAACAGTTTATGTTCTTTTCTCTTTTTAGTTTAGGTTTATCTGGCCCAGCTCTGTTTAACAGACACCATTCTGGAGGGAGGCATCAGCTGGGCTGCTGTCAAAAACAACATTATAGATCAGAAAATTGGGCCAGTTTTCAGTTTTCTAAATTGACCCAGTTGTACGCTTCAAGACATAACTATGGGATCAACCATTACTGTGACTGAATATATGTGCTCTCCCATCATCTTTTTTGATGTGCTAACCAGCTCACAGCTCATCTGCTTAACTGTTTACAGGTGCTGGTCATAAAATTAGAATATCATGAAAAAGTAGATTGATTTCAGTAATTCCATTTAAAAAGTGAAACTTTTATATTATATTCATACATTACATACAAACTCATATATTTCAGATGTTTATTTTGTTTAATTTTGATGATTACAAATGACAACAAATGAAAATCTCAAATTCATCATATCAGAAAATTAGAATATTACTGAAGACCAATAAAAACAAAGGATTTATAGAAATGTTGGCCAACTGAAAAGTATGAACATGAAAAGTATGAGCATGTACAGCACTCAGTATTTAGTTGGGCCTCCTTTGGCCTGTATTACTGCAGCAATGCGGTGTGGCATGGAGTCGATCAGTCTGTGGCACTGCTCAGGTGTTATGATAGCCCAGGTTGCTCTAATAGTGGCTTTTAGCTCTTCTGAATTGTTGGGTCTGGTGTATTGCATCTTCTTCTTCACAATACCCCATAGATTTTCTATGGGGTTAAGGTCAGGAGAGTTTGCTGGCCAATTAAGAACAGGGATACCATGGTCCTTCAACCAGGTACTGGTAGCTTTGGCACTGTGTGCAGGTGCCAAGTCCTGTTGGAAAATTAAATCTGCATCTCCAAAAAGTTGGTCAGCTGCAGGAAGCATGAAGTGCTCTAAAACTTCCTGGTATGTGGCTGCGTTGACCCTGGACCTCAGAAAACACAATGGACCAACACCAGCAGATGACATGGCACCCCAAACCATCACTGACTGTGGAAACTTTACACTGGACTTCAAGCAACGTGGATGAAGTGCCTCTCTTCTTTTCCTCCAGACTCTGGGACCTTGATTTCCAAAGGAAATGCAAAATTTACTTTCATCAGAGAACATGACTTTGGACCACTCACCAGCAGTCCAGTCCTGTTTCTCTTTAGCCCAGGCAAGACGCTTCTGACGCTGTCTGTGGTTCAAGAGTGGCTTGACACAAGGAATGCGACAGCAGAAACCCATGTCTTTCATACGTCTGTGTGTGGTGGTTCTTGAAGCACCCACTCCAGCTGCAGTCCACTCTTTGTGAATCTCCCCCACATTTTTGAATGGGTTTTGTTTCACAATCCTCTCCAGGGTGCGGTTATCTCTCTTGCTTGTACACTTTTTTCGACCACATCTTTTCCTTCCCTTCGCCTCTCTAATAATGTGCTTGGACACTGAGCTCTGTGAACAGCCAGCCTCTTTAGCGATGACCTTTTGTGTCTTGCCCTCCTTGTGCAAGGTGTCGATGGTCGTCTTTTGGACAACTGTCAAGTCAGCAGTCTTCCCCATGATTGTGTAGCCTATAGAACTAGACTGAAAGACCATTTAAAGGCTTTTGCAGGTGGTTTGAGTTAATTAGCTGATTAGAGTGTGGCACCAGGGGCCATCAATTTTGAACCTTTTCACAATATTCTAATTTTCTGATATGATGAATTTGAGATTTTCATTTGTTGTCATTTGTAATCATCAAAATTAAACAAAATAAACATCTGAAATATATGAGTTTGTATGTAATGTATGAATATAATATACAAGTTTCACTTTTTAAATGGAATTACTGAAATCAATCTACTTTTTCATGATATTCTAATTTTATGACCAGCACCTGTATTTCCAAAACAGAACCACCCATGGAGCTAACATAAAAATGTAATGCTCAGAGCTTCTATATTATTTTTGGATCTACTTCTGACCTAACTGAATTTAATTATATTTTGATATATGATCTTAAAGGGGAACACCGGTATTTTTACATTGGCCCCTTGTTTTTATGTTATTACATCATTTTCTACTGACCCATATGAGTTTTGTGTAATTTGGAGCTGTTCTGCAGATATTTGGTTTTGTTATATCCAAGTAACGTCCTTGCTTTGGGCAACGAGTTGAAGGCACAAACTAAACTATTCATAATTTATTCTTTATGGTGCGCCAGCATTCATAACATGTAGGCGAATCACTGTCCCCCAGACATCCAGGGTTATATTTTTTTTATATTTATATTTTTTTTAAAACAAAGTGGAGTGTGTATGATGCCATCCGCACGCTGGACTGGAGTTGTGACAGGCAGCCCAGGCCACACGCAGCTACACTCTACCCCTTATATTCATTCGGCTAGCTAATCTTAATCGTTCAATTCCATTTCAAGAGGGAGATCATCTGTGGTAGTAGCACTAGACATCTTCTAGGCATGTGAGTAAAACTAGCAGCAGTTCAGCGGACAGGATGAATAAATGTCATACACACTCCGCTTTGTTTTTACAAAATTTAAATATAAAATATATAACCGTGGGGTCTGGGGGACAGTGATGCGCCTACATGTTATGAATGCTGACTACCATAAAGAACAAATTATGAACAGTTTGGTTTGTGCCTTCAACTCGTTGCCCATAGGAAGACATTACTTGGATATTACAAAACCGAATATCTTTGGAACAGCTCCAAATGACAAAAAACTCATGTGGGTAAGTAGAACATGATGTAATAACGTAAAATCAGGGTGCCAATGTAAAGGAAAAACGGTGTTCCCCTTTAATTTACTGCAACATACTTTTTGCCAGGGTAACATCTGGCCACATATTTAATCCACATATATTTTCCACCCACACGCTTTAATTATCTGCCAAATCAACACTTTGACTTGGCATCTGCCACACTAAATATGGTTATTTTCCATCAACATCTGAAATTTTGTTTTGGTGTTTTTTTATCATAATATGCCTGCATTGTTGTCTTAAGTTCCACTGCCTAGAAATTTTGACGCAATTGCTTCTTATTTACTCCTGCTGCAATGGTGGATTGTGTCATCTGCTTTCCATGGATGAGGGCTACTTGCTCAATTAAAAAAGACTGCACGACAATCAAAAATGCCGCTTATATTGTCCAGTACAAATATATGATCTATGACTTCCAATGACTACTTTCAACTAAGACCACAATTCTATAATTGTAAGAACTTTCTTCAGACGTATTGAACATTTTCCAATCGAAACTTCGCTAAAAGACAAAGATTTAATCAAATGTGATGCTTGTTTTTTGTTTGTTGGGAAAGAAGTCTGTGAAAAAAAGGAATCAGGATACCTTAATGATGAATTTAAAGTGTAACTTAAATGTTACCAAGACAAAGATCTAGTGGTTACTTTGAACACATCCAGAAAGAGGGTTTTGCGTCACGGTTTTTAAATATTTATCACATCTGGCCCTAAAAAATCGGAACGGATAAAAAAAAAACACCTTTCCATCCCGATTGCTAATGTTAGCAGAACACGGTTAGCCTAGCAGGATGAGTTCGCTAACAGCTAGCGTTAGCACCGGCCTGGACTGAATGTACTCGAACAAAATAGCACAACGTTGGTTTGTTTGCCAGAGCAAGTCGTGTACTTACACCGGTTTACTTTAACAGAGTAAGTTAAGCTCGCGCGGATACCTAAAGTCCTTAAATGAGAGTGTTGGGCGAGCTAATAAAGTATGTTCAGATGAATTCCCCTACCCACCTACAAACATGGTGGATCCCAGATCTATACAGCGAACACAGTGGTTAGCATATCCATATTCGAAGATTAAAAACATAAAAACCTTTCTTCTCTTTGTTGTCCGATGTCAGATTTGATTGTAGGCGTAATCCTCTTAGATCGTTACTAATAATAACTCCTTATGTTAACAGATTGTCACTGTTAGAATGCTATCCACTGAAAGCTGGCTCTGCAGACTTCCTCCTTCTCTCCAAACAGCACAGCCAAGCGGCAATGGCGACACAGTCACTCCTGCTCGCTCCGTGAGATAGGTGTGTGTGTGTGTGTGTGTGTGTGTGTGTGTGTGTGTGTGTGTGTGTGTGTGTGTGTGTGTGTGTGTGTGTGTGTGTGTGTGTGTGTGTGTGTGTGTGTGTGTGTGTGTGTGTGTGTGTCAAGGTATGTAGTCCATCCCTTTTCATCTTTCATCCACATCCGTGCTTCTTTTCGTGTGACAGTACCTAACTTATGCAACAGATTTTCTATCGGCATGTTATTTTAGACAAATTAAAGCACTTGTCAGAACTAGGAGTTTTAAGTTTTTCACTCAAAATAGGAATTTGACTGATTCCACTTTTCTTTCAGTTAACATGACACAGAAAACAAGAAAAAAAAAGAAGAAAAAAAACAAATGAAGAATTAAAGGCAGAATAATTTCCTGTTGTTTCTTCACCTAGGATAGAAAAAAAGTAAAAGAGATCATTCTGAAAAGTGACCATGTGTGTTATAAAATTGAGAACATGATTTTCAGAAATACCTCAGTCTGTGGCCCTGAAACAGATTTCAGAGGTTAGCAGCTCCACCAAGATGTAACATCTAAAACAGAAAAAACAAAGTGAGAAAATTATAATTCAAACACTGATTAACCCCAGTTTTTTTAGAGCACAGAATTTGTATTTTCAAAGTCCAGAATAACGTTTTGCTATAGCGTTCATTTCTTCCAAAAATGATTCTTTGGTTTGTAGATTTGTTTGAAAAAGGTAGATGTGTCTTCTCTATGAAGGCTCATCCCATGTGCCTCAAAATCCAGAGTTACCTTTATATTAAATATTAGAGTTTGTGACTTTATTACCACAATGGAGTTTGATGTAGATTAACCTATAACTTGCACACAAAAAAAACTGACTGCAGTAAGTCATCTACTTTTCAGGATTCACTTCTGTTTGATGAGCATTTGGCAACAGTCAGTGGCATCCAGTCTTTTTGAAGGGCATTCCAAGGGGGCCATTGAGCTCAAGTTTTGACCCCGAAGAGGGCACTGTAGCATGCATTTTGGCTCCAAAGAAGGCCCTTTGGCACAAGTTTTGGTTCTAGAGAGGAACGGAACCAAAACTCTCATGTTTTAAATGCTGTGAAACTGGTATTGTTTTTCCTTTTTGGATATTTTTATAATGCCTAACCATAGAAACTAAAACCGTTAGGCTGTAATAACACTTCCAACCTCTTTCACAAGTACAAGCTTTGTGGAAAAGGTGGTGCCAAGGATGCAGAGCAGGAGCAAGGGGAAGTGAGAGGAGCAGAAAAGTGAAGGCACCTTTATAAAAGTCAACCTGTATCTAAAAGAACTTTAAGAAAATGGTCACAGGAAATTTAAGACACCCTGCAAGGTTGTTCTGAAGGCTTATTTTTACTGAGAAACCAGGTGGTCTGCGTGTGTGTCGCAGTGAACGCAGATATGGCTCCGCCCCTTCCACAGACAATCTGGTGCACCTCTCCGAAATTGTAGGTGACCACAGATAGTGCTGCAGACAGGAGGCCTCTGATTGGTCAAATCTACATCCGCTCTACACTATGCATATTTCTTGTTTGGTACCTTACAGGGTTGTTTTGTTTGTATGACCTCCATTGTGGAAAAGGACTAGTGGAGATGGACCAGCTAGAAGAGCGAGGTGCATGAGAGCCTAGGGACGCTTTTTCCACCTGGGTCCCCGCTCTTTTTACCCTCATATCCCTCTGTTATCGCACAGACTTGCCCCCACTTCCTCACCGCCTCGTCTGTATTTAGACCCACCGCTAGTTCGTAATTGTATAGCACAGACCACTTTGGCATAAATCAAAAACACACTGCTGCTAGCCTGATAAACCAGACTAAATGGGAGATGAAAGGTGTTATTTAGTCTGTCCCCAATGAATGAGACATCGGAAGATTGTTGATGAGAACAACCCGTTGTCTTTCAAACCACTGTCTGTGCCTGTTGGCCAGTGCTCTGACAAATGAGTGCAACTGACTGTGACGTAGTAAGCGCGTCAGATTACTTTGAAAATCCTTCAAGGGGAATGGGATGAGCAGCTGAGATCTCGCGAGAGCTGTGTGCGTAAGTGAAATGGCGAAATACTGGTAATTCAAAAACACATCCACTCAGGTTAGTACAAGCCAATAATTGTAAATTAAACAAAGTCAGGTTTAACCTTTAACACTTGTCCTATATTTCCAAGGGAAAAAACTGGAAGACGAGACCTTGACGAGCCTGAAGAGTACCTGGACAAGTGTTTTGACAACATCGTAATGGGGAAGCCAAGGAATACCACATCCACAAACACACCTTCGACCAAACAATGTCGATGTAATCCAACCAGTGCTGCTTCTACCTCCACTTTGTCTCCAGACAGGAGCTACAGTGACATCCTGGAATCCATCGACAAAAAGCTAACCAGCCTAGACACCCACATCACCCTGGTAGAAGTCCTACATAAGTAGTTTCAAGCTCTGAGAAAGTCGCTGGAATACAGCCAAGCGCAGCTAGCCTCCGTTACCGCAGAGAATTAAGTGCTGAGGGGGGAGGTCACCAAACTCACAGAGGGGATGATCCAGCTGTCCGGCAAAAATAAGAATATTAAGAAATCCATTCTGGACATTCAGTCACGGAGCAGGAGAGACAATCTCATCTTCGCAGGAATCGCGGCGCGGCCGGAGGAGGATCCCGGGGTGACGATCCATGAGTTCCTCCAGCAGAAGCTAAAAATCCCAGTGGACCAGGTAAATAACATTACCTTCCACCGCGTTCAGCTGCTTGGAGATAAGAAGCCTGATAAAACCCGTCCTAGACCAATTGTAGCTCAGGGCAGAGAGCTGAGAGGAACAGATTTCAGCGTTAATGACCAGTTTCCAAAGGAAGTATTAGATCGAAGCGAGTCTTATTCCCAATCAGGAAGAAATACATTAATGAAGGCGTCAGAGCTACAGTAGCAGTTGACAAACTTTATATTAATGGTCAGTTGTTCAGCTATCAGAAGATTTATCCTTGGCTTTATTAGATGCACAAAAGGTGGATTTAAAGTATGTGATTAAAGTGTATGGAATGGATCACGGTGATAAATGAAATATATGCACAGCTCTAGAGCACTTTGGCACGGTATGGGTGTTAGTCACAACTGGGTACAGGAAGCATGGTCTGGGCTTCTTTTTCTTTCACCTTTTCTTAATCATTGCACTTTTTTAATTCTCTGTCTTCCTTTATCTTATTCGTCTGCTTCTTCCCTGTTGTCCACACAATCACAAGCACACGGTTTGATACTACCTGGGTCTAGGTATAACTATTTATTCAGAGGGATGTACTTTTCATCTTCTCACCCACACCTATGGTGGATGTTAGGTTTGTGACATGGAATGTGCATGGAGCTGGCACCAGAGAGAAACAGTTTAAGATTTTTAACCAGCTTAAAAAATTAAATGCAGATGTTGTCTTATTGCAAGAAACCCATAAATCAGCGACCACTGTAAGTGATCTTAACTCCCCTGAGTTCACAGATGTGTTTGCAGCCTGCTATAACTCTAGACAGAGAGGAGTAGCAATTTTAACCCACAACAACCTCAGTTTTACTTTATTAGACAAAATTATTGATCATGAAGGCAGATTCATCATCATTAAAATATCTATTCATAACCAAAAGTTATGTATTGTCAGCATATATGGACCCCTCATTCTTCCACAAACTTTTTCATGCACTTTCAAAGCACGGGGACTGTTCTCCAATTATTGGGGGGGACTTCAACTTTGCTCTAAATGGAGAAATGGACAGGTTGAATACAACAGGGACTCCTTGCAGTTGGCAATCATTAAATAGTCAAACAATACATGAGTGATTTTGGTCTTTGCGAAGCATGGTGATGTCTTCATCCTAACACTAAGGAATACACTTTCTTTTCTAATGCCCATCATTCCGACTCTCGTTTGGACTATTTCTTAATCAGCAGCTTCGCTGCTGTCTGACGTCTCGGATGCTCTAATCCATCCTATTGCTGTCAGTGATCATGCTCCTGTTTCTTTAACCCTAATAAATAAAATAAAAAAATAGCCACACAAAACAAGTGCTGGAGATTTAATACATCACTGCTTAAAGATGAAGAATTTCTCACATTTTTCAAGGAAGAATGTCAATAATACTTGGAGTGCGATGATTCTATACTATAGGAAGCAGGGAAAGCAGTGATGAGAGGTAAAATTATTTCACTCTCATCTCATAAAAAAAAAAGTTAGAACAAAAAAGACACAGGAATTAGGGGAAAAAATTAAGTTACTAGAAAGCTCGCTAGATGAGGAAAAATTTGGTAAAATCCATAAAATAAAACTAGAACTAAACGAATATATTGAAAAATAAAATACATTTTTAATACAAAGACTCCGAATAGAAAACTTTGAATAATAGCAATAAGTCAGGAAGTTTCTTAGATAATCAGCTAAAAATAAACAAGGAAAAAAACGACTATATTGCAATTACAGAATTAATTTGTAATATATTACAGGATCCGGAGGGTATTAACAAATGCCTTCCGAGATTTCTTTAAATTTTTATACACATCACAGTTAAATCCATCAGATAATTATATCAAGTCATTTCTGGATAAAATAACTCTTCCTCAATTATCAGAGACTCAAAGAGTGACCCTGGACTCACCGCTGTCAACAGTTGAAGTTCAGGAAGCATTACAAAGCATGCCAAATAATAAAGCGACAGGTCCAAACGGGTTCCCTACTGAGTTCTATAAAGAGTTCTGTCCCCAACGTTCCACATAATGCTGGAGGAAACTCAAGATAATGGCAAATTTCCAGTTAATATGAATTCCGCCACCATTAGTCTCCTGCTTAAGCCAGGCAAAGATCCTATATTTCCGACCAGCTATCATCCCATATCCTTAATTAATGTCGATTTTAAAATAATCTGTAAAGCTTTAGTAAAACAATTAGATAAAGTCACTCCTCATAATCCACCCAGATCAAAGTGGTTTCATTAAAGGAAGGCAGTCAGCCGCTAACA